TTTTAATGTTTTTTATTTACTTGTTTCCATTCTTTTTTCTTAAATTAATAAATAACATTCTGTTTTGATTCTGTGGTTAGGTTAATCATTTCATGCTAATCACATGCGCATAAATTAAAATGGCGTCAAACCACAAACCCACGCGGTGTCTGCAGCTGGATTTTGACTTCCATTTTGTTCTCTCCTTGCTTCTTTTTGAATCCACCTTTGTGGTCCTTGACCCAAGCACAAAGGAATGATGTAAAAGCCAACTGGAGCGGTTCTCTGGTTTAAAAGATTAGAGGGGCCATAGAAGAAGATGAAAGAAAGAAGAAAAAGTCTGAAGAATTTTGCAGAAATTTGAATTTGGGCCTATTCTTCAAAAAAGCTCTCGCTACATTACAGTCCACTTTAAAGGTACCAGGAGAATCGCTCAGTGAAGGAGAGCTCATCTAAGCCATTTATAAGGCTGTACAACGTAAGATAAAAGAGTTATAAGTGTTTGAAAATCATAAAAACGGCCGCCATCTTGAAAAACCAACCTAAATCCTACATATAGGCTACCGCCTATATAATAGTGGCAATCTAATTTTCATGGATTTCCCATTTTTCAAAATTTACAAATTATGACACAAAAGTAAAATGCTCAAAGATAAACTTAATATGCCCAAAAATAGGAAATCATAAAAATTAAAGCCACGAAATAGATTTTGAATGGATCAGCAAAATTTTTGGACCATAAAAATATTCCCCTATACTGTATTATAGTATTTATTGTACTTTATTTTTTAAAACTTACTTTAGTGTTAATTCCTTGTCCTATCTCAACTCCTCCATGTACAACAGAGACTGATCCATCCCCAGAATACACACTAACCAATACAGTGCTATTAGTCCCATTCCATTCTAGACCATATCTCAATGGGACCACAGACAACCCTCTCTTCCTCCATCTGTTAGCCTACAGAGAATGAGTTATTAAATCATATACTGAATGTTACAAGTGTTATATTCAGTGTCACTTTGTTAAAGTCTGAGATTTTGTCTTTTCTAGCCTGGACATCAGCAGTCTTCATCATTTCTATGAGAGTTAAGAATTTTGTAAGTTGCAGCATAAGAGAAATACTGTATAGAGCAAGTTTTAAAGGGCTGTAAATTTCGCGAATTTTGCAATTGTTTGAGGATTCGTACAAATCAAATTATTTTGGTACAAGGTGGCAGACGGCATAAATTTGCAAAAATTAAATCCACAAAATACATGTAGAATTTTATGGAAATTTGGGAAATCTAAAGCCTTTAAAAAGTTTTGCGCTATATGGTAGGTCTTGATTGTACATGCAGTATCCAGTGATACTAATACATGTAGATACATGTACATGTGTGAACTTACGTTGCCAGAGGTCATCAATATTACAGTATGTTAAAGCCTGTCCCTTTGGTGGGAATGACTGCAAGAAAAGAGAGAAAGAGAGGATATATTAAAAACACAGGAAAAGGCAAAAAGAAAAAGACGAAAATGATAATAACACACCAGAAGAGAAATGTCTCCTTTCTTGTAAAAGTTGGCATGCTTGAATTCCTCGATATCCATGCCTATCTTGGTAGCTACATCATCCATTAGTGACTCAATAATGAACACACCAGGCAGATACCCTAACGATACAGTTACCAATGAATGCTATTAGTTACAGTGGGTGGATTTCAAAGCTGAAAATACTGTATATGCCATATATTTTGTGAGTGTAAAATTTTGCTTTTGCAAATAAAAATTTTGTGATTTTAATGTAATTACCACACCTACTACAATGAGCATGCTATTGTGCGGGTTTTAATTTCGTGAAATTTAATTCCCACAAAATATATGGCGTAAACAGTACAAGAAAAAAAAAGACATGAAAATAGCTTTCCAGCAATGTAAATCCCTACCAGGTGCCCTTGTATAAGTATTACTGGGAGTGTGTGTTCTACAGGTAGTCTGTGTTATTGACCAATTAGAGCAGTTGTAAGCTACAGCATAAGAAATAAGACATACATGTACATTGTAATTATCGTACTACCAAATAGAGCAAAATTTTCGAGGGCTATAAATTTTGCAGATTTGCCTAAAGATTTGTTTCACAGATTACATTTTCGCGAATTTATGCCTCCTGCCATCTTGTACCGTAATAATTTGAAATTTGATAGTAATTTCTGCAAATCTTTAAAAATCATGAAATCCACAAAATCTACAGCACTTGAAAATTTTGCACTATACGGTATGGCATATACATGTACATGTAAGCTAAACATACTGTTATCAAGGTTCCTTAGTGCATAAGGTAAGTAGGAGTCATTGCTACTGCAGCCAGCATCAGTGAACACGTCAATTTTAATCCCATTTAGAACCCCAGCCTTAGTACAACCAACCTGTGAGAGAAAAAGGGAAGAGATGATTATGTACATGTATCTACATGTAGTAGGGGAGAGGTCTTACAGTGTATTTGGCATAGTAAGGGTATCTCTTCCCAACCATTTTCATGTTAGACTCAAGATCCATGTGTAGCCTCACTGGCCTGTAAATTACATGCATATAGTCATTAAGTATAATTGTTATCAAACTAATAGAGGTGGGCGATACGATACCAAAGTACTCATATATCCGATACCAGGCCTCCAATACCAAGTACTCGATACCAAATCCTGGTATCGAGTAGTAAGTAACCACGCCCCACCACACCTATTTTTGACGTCATACTTATGGCCACACCCTTTAATAATTACAAAATGGCGGCTTATTTCTCTTCATTTTTATTAATAACTAATAATAACTTATTTGTGCATGCGCAGTAGCTGACTACTCATTCACTACTCGATACCATCGATACTGAGACTCAGACTACTTGGTATCGGTATCGATTCAAAATTTCTGGTATCGCCCACCTCTACAAACTAACCCTAAAGCCATTTTATTAATAATTTATGAAAAGTGGTAAGAGCATCTACATGTATCAGTTGTGGGTCAATAATTTTTACCAGATGCATGTGGTGAACCTGTTTTTCTTATAATGTGTAGGCTGGCAAGCACATTGAGTCATGTTTACTCTACATTGCTTGCTTCATGCAAACACTTAGTCAGGCGGAGCCTGACCCTCGCAAAGAGGAGGGTCAGGACCAATCCGTATCTAGAATTTGTTCTGAACTGCACAGTTTTGTGCAGTGCCGGAAATGACTCACAGTGACTCTAATTTTAATATTAACCCTTACATTACCAATTAATGCAATTATTGGCAATTAAACTATGGCAACTGTAATGCAAGATGCTGCTGCGAGATTGGGATATGTTTTAAAAGATGATCAGGCCAAGGTTATAGCTGTT